TGAGGCTGCAATATGCGTTCGAGGTATCGCTCTTCGTATCAGTTCTCGCGACTTGCCGCGCTCTTCATCAATAAACAGGCCGAGTAATCATGCGACCAGAGTTTTTTTAAAAAAAAAAAAAAAAATAAAAGGAAAAAGCCGACTCTTCTCTCAGCTTAATCTTAACATGTTCACTTCCATCGATACTTTTCTTTTTAGGGCTCATCAGACATCAGGAATTGACCCTGACCCCTCCCCGCTTTAATCATAACGAGGAATACATAGCCTGGGGGAACGTCCCACCCAATGAACTAAACTTTTGGTTGATTTTCGTCTCAGGGTCCCATAATGAGACTTATTAGCGATGTTGATATTTACTAAGGTTTGCATCGCTTTCCACAAGATTACAAGTATAGAAATAGTCAACTATACTATTCTTGTCAACCATGGCACCATGCAGAGGAAATATAATTTTTTTGTGAGGGTTTGAATAATCATTCATAGTAATTCATCGAGTCTAGAAGAATCCTCAACAGAATGCAGAAAGCACTGGACGGCCGTTTCGTCCTTTTTGGGACTCCCCAGTATCCGAGAATCGAACCGTTACAATACACCGCAAGCGTCTTACGACTGCACCAACGGGCCTCGGTGACGAAGAAATTAACTGGACTCACTTCTCGGTTGTGGATGCGCACTGCTGAGGAGTCCCCAAAAGGACGAAACGGCCGTCCAGTGCTTTCTGCATTCTGTTGAGGATTATATATATATAAAGAAAGAAAAGAGAGAGAGAGAGAGAGAGAGAGAGAGAGAGAGAGTTCAGAAGAGGGATGGATGGAAAACAGACGACATATATTTTCGTCTGCCGAAATAGACTATTCTCCATATGAAGTTATTTGGGATTTTATTGTTTATTAATTATTTGCTCTGTATTAATAAATATATTGAACGCTCTTTGTGGTTCAGTTTTAATATATTATATTAATAGAAACCACTTGAATTGAAAACCAACAGATATGCTATCTTTAATATATATTGGTTTGGTGCATAATTATCAGGCGTTTTTGTAGGCGAGTTATTTGTTAATCAAAATTGCTGTTTTGTTGAATTTTTTAAAATAAAAATATTAATTTATTTTCGGGTTACAAAAGTGCGTGTCAATAATCATACGCTCCGGAATAATCATTTAAAAATATCATTGTTGAATTGTTATGTTTCTTTTTTAATAATAAATATTTAAAAATGCCTGATAATTATGCACCAAGCCAATATATATATATATATATATATATATATATATATATATATATATATATATATATATATTCAAAACCTTAAGTCCATCTCTTCTTGCATTTTTACTTCTCCCTTTTTTTTTTTTTCTTTTTCCTTTTTTTTTCTCTTATCTCTTTATATCGTTTCCCATTAAATAGGTCAATGTCTGATCCTTACCCCCACTCCTCACTATTAAGTATTGTAATAAAAATAAAAATAAATTTAAAAGCATTCCTATCTCTTCCTTTCTTCTCTAATTTCGACCATGTCTGTCACACTATCTCTCACCAATCTTTATATCACCTTACATAAGCTTAATACTGCCCTTCAACAGTGTAAGTTTAAATTCATTATTTCATCCTTGGAAGTAAGGTCTGATGATCCAGAAAAAAAAAACAAGCAGAAGGAAAAGGGCCTAGATAATTTAACACTCATGGGGCATATTGCATGGAAGAGAAGCGGGTGTGTATGTGTGATAGCAAGTAAAGTACCGAACTGGTTTTTGTAAATGGATAGAGAAAAGAATTCCGAAGTGAATCCTTTATTTTGTTTACTCGTGCAGATTTTCTAGTTCTATGTGTCACATTTTTCCGGATGTCTTAGTTATCGCCTTTTAACTCAACTGCAGTAGCCAGATATTGAACTCACAACGCTTTGGCTCAAGTCAGTGGAACCAAGCAACGCTTTTATCCACTGGGCCATGTGTCAGCGTTGTTCGGATCCGCTGACTTGATCCAAAGAGTTGTAAGTCGGCACTTGGAACTAGAACAATCTATTCCAATGGACGAAATAAAGGGTTCAGTTCGAAATTCAATTACCTGAAGACAGCCAGAGCGTACAACGGCCGAAACGTTGTGAATATGACAATAAAGATGAGGACAACATTCCGAAAAATATAAATAATGTAAATAAGTACAATACCTCATCTCAGAAATATAAAGAAAGAAATTATTTAGAGCAGCAAAAGACAGAAAATTTTGAATAGCTATGATCGCTTACGTCTTCAAAAGATGTGACAGATAAAAAAAAAACGTGGCAGATGAAAAAAAAGTGGCAGATAAAAAAAGACGTGGCAGATGAAAAAAGAACCAAGGAAGTATTTGACGATAGGTGGCATTTAAAACTGATAAGAGAACAAACTTTATTTCAGTTAGTCTTCTTTTATTTGCTGAGTCCCGACCTGATGGGAGAGATCATGGTGCTTCACAATTTCCTATCCTTTGTAGTTCTAATCAACTTTTGTTCGTTTACGTACTATCCTCCCGACTCCCTGATCTGTTACCCTTTTCTATAAACTTGCTAAGTAGGTTACTCGCTGTTTCTCTTCGCCACTCTTGCATTTACGCCATATGGCCATATGGCGTTGAAACATGTTCCCATACGATCGCCGAAGTTAAAAAAAAAACATTGAGACTTATCAGTACCTAGTTTGATTTGCTTCGGTTTCTTTTACAGTATATCAACCTCAATGGGTTATTTAATGACGACAAAATTTTTATTGCTGATAATATTTTTCTTAAAAAATGTATTGCTCATAATATTTATTTTCTTCAATAATGTATTGTTGGTAATATTATTTTTTTCTTCAAAAATGTATTTCTATAATGATTTTTCCTCAAAAATTTTATTGCTGGTGTTAAAACCTATTTTTATACTTTCACACTCCAGTTTGGGGAGGCACGGTGGAGTAATGGATAGCGGCTTGGATTGAGGAATCGGAGAGCCGAGTTCGAATTCCAGTCGAATCCATTACATTCACTTACGTGCTAAGTGAATCCTCTTTCTTCTCCCTCCAGCTATGAGTAAATATCAGGACAGACTGGATTCTATAGCCTTGGATGGCAACTGGTGTATGAGAAGGAAAACCTGCTCTTAGAGGAGGGTGAATAGAGTCTCTCTGAGCCTTGGTTGGCAATCCATTTAGTGTTGGTGTCACGATAAAAACACCCTTGATAGCCCTAGCGAAGCATCAAGAATTCAGCTATTTGACAAGATTATGAACTACACCAATCAAAGTATTGGTGAGTTCAATCTCGGCTGAGGCCGCAAGATGATGAAGATTATTTGCCCATAGTTGGGACCCTAACAGGTGCTACTACCCCGGGTCATGGTGGACCTGGCAACACCAGCAATTAAGAGGTGGTTCAACGCTCGGCAAAAACTTCTGAACAGAGGCTTTGCTGTTGGATGTAGTTTATCGTCATACCCAGGACGCTCAGTACCTAGAAGGGTGACCGTTTGGTAATATTAGGCATCAAACGCTCCACGCCCGCTTTCCTTATTGTGTGTCTCAGATATTTCATTTGTCTCTTTCTGATTCTGAGTATAAGTGTTCTTTTTTCCATTTTTCTTAAAACCTCCTCGTTGTTTTGTCCATGCTGACTGCTGTATAAGTGTATTGATATTACAAGCGGTTCAGAACTCTTTTTTTTTTGTTTTTACCTTGAGTCTCATCAGCTCAGCAATTATCCAGCATTCACCGTCGGATAGGCGGATTGATATTAAATCGCACATAAGCAATCTTCTTGTTTTGTAATGCTTTAGCTTTTGAAGGGCATCTTTTGCTATTCTGATGGGGCCTTCGGATGGCGCAAAAACAGTTTGCGCATCGGATGGGGAGAAACAAGTTTTCAATAAAGAAACGAACACCTGTAACTCATCGAAAAGTGGAATCGGAATACCCTTTCCTTAGACAAGGAGTCCTAAAAAATTCTGAAACTGTTCTATATCATTTTATAGGAACTTAAGCTAAACAACAAAGACAGACACTAAAAGAAGACCGACAAAAAACACTTTAAGTATAACAACCATCTTTTCTATGCAGTATAAGCTCTAAGTAATGTTTTTCTCATTACTAACCCACGCAGTTACTGTTCTGCTATCCATTTACACAAGCCCATATGGTAGGTTATCTATCTGGCCTTTAGTATGTTCTGTGAGTATTGAATTCTCCAAGCTCTCTTTCCTCATTATGTTTCTTAGAAATTGCAGCCATCTCTTTCTGATACTAAGTATAATTGTCCTTTTTGTTTTTCTCAAAAGTTCCTAATTACTCAATGCTCTTATCATGGCATTCTCAGTATCCTTCTGTCGAACCACATCTGTTTGTCTCAAGTTTTCTCTTGATTTGTGAGGAAGTAATCCAACATTCATTGCCATATAGGTAGATTGATATTTCACAGGGGTTCAGCACTAGTTTCCAGATTCAGCTGCGTTATTTTACCACCTCATTTGAACATAAATCAAGCGTTAATTTGCTGTTGTTCTTGTTCAGAAGATCATTCTATTCACTTTGAAAGGTTAATATAATCCACATATTTGTCAGGCCGGCAATGAGCTCATCAACATTGTATGAAATTCAATATAATTTTTTTCATTGTTTATGAGCATTATGTCAAAATAGTTTGCTTTGAAACAAATATTTATGACAAGAAATGAATATGACACAATGTGCATTAATAATACAACATTAAATATCATTTGCTGGTAAATTCTATTTGCCCCCGCCAAAAAAAAAAAACATTGTTTTTTTTTGTTTTTTTTTTTAAATATGAATTACAGTAGAATCCTGTTCTTTCTCATCACTAAAGTCATCTCATTCTCTTTCACTTTCAGTAACTGCTTGCGTTTTAGTGGCATTATCGCTTTGCTTGGGGTGAAATGATAAAATAATACATACCTATGATAAAATTTAATTTATAAATTAAGTACAATAAAAGATTAACAACATTAACTAATCTTAAAATAGAACAATTATAACACTAGTTCGCGTAAGATCACTGAAGTTAACTAACGTTGTGCCTGGTCAGTTCCCAGAAGGGTGACCGGTTGGGAATACCAGGTGCTGTAAGCTTAGATGTGCTGGTGGTGTTAGGGATAACAGCACGGAATGATACATTAGAGAAACGAGTTCGAATTCTAGTCGGGATCGTTACATTCTTTTTGTGCTGAAATAATAATAATCATTTGTTGGTAAATTTGCTTAAAAACATTTTTAATACTCATGAACCAGAATAGAACCTGTTCTTTTATTATTCTTTCTCCTCACTAATAGCTTCTCGTTCTCTGTCACTCCCAGTAACCCCTTGCATCTTAGTGGCATTATCTCCTTGTTTTTGGTGAAATGATTACAAAAAATATTAATGAGTGGTTATTTTAGAAATTCAGACAGAAATTATTAAATATTAAGATCATATTTCTGGACGTGTTCGATTCTCGGCTCGAAAAAAAACGCAATTATTGTTCACATATTAGTTTCTAATGGATTTTTAATTCTGATTGGTTGAGCGGTATTAATCAAGAATTGTCTTATGACGCATATTTTATTTTTTGCACTCTTTTTACTTGATTATTACTCAATCGTCTTAGACGGGTCATTATCTTAATGTTCGTCTGGCGTGATTTGTGTTCGACAAAGCAAGAATAAAAAAAATCCTTGTTTGGAATTCATTTATTCAGGAAGATGAATGATCATTAAGCGACACCATAAGCCCAATAGGTTGACAACAAATGATTGAACGTTTTGCTTAAGTGAAAAATCATATTTAGTGTAATCTCAGGCAAGAAACACTTATAAAATCGCTGAGGAATCCTGTATAAAAAAAGCTTCTTTTTCACATTATCATTGCATTCTGTTGGCATGAAATCCCAAAAGATAGAAATAGCTAAGACATGCTAATTTTTATTTAATTTATGCCTGAAAGCAAAGATCAAACTGTTGTGTTCATTGGTCGCCTTAATCATTCTGTACAGCTGTGAATCTTGGACATTAACTTCAAAATTATTGCGAATTAATCTAGCCAGTTCTACTTGAGTTACGCTTTTCTTCCCTCTCTGTCCATTAGGCTGGGACCAAAGTGTACTATCTGCCTTCGGGAGGATAGACTACATTTTAGTTCTTAATTGTGTTTTTGTCTTCAAACAGAGCACAGCTCAGTTTTTTTTTTTTTTTTTTTTGTCTTCGGGCAGAGCGCAACTGAGAATATAATTGAAAGATACCCAGTCCTGGGGAACAAATGCCGGTGGCAGTACCTCCCTCATTGGGGGGATGGGTAGTCATACTGATGACAGTGCAAACGATGGTTACTGGGGCTGTGCTACTTTTAGACCTGGCCTGGCTGTACGGACACGAGCTCCCTACATTAAGCTGACCTTGTGTCATATCTTGCCAGCGTTGGGCAGCAAGTAATTACTAAGTGTTTTATCTGTTCTCATCTGTAATGGTTATGGTAATATTAACTGTTTCCTTATAAGGAAAAATTCAGCATTCGTTGCTACTATAGCTAGTGCTACTTTTGGCGGAAATTTATAAAATATTTCTATTAAAATAATTTCTTAAGAAAATAGGTTTCTCAAGTCCAGCAACTGTTATTGCCCTTTCTAGTATTGATAAGAGTTTTAACCAGGGTGGAGTGAACTCAATACTCATGACTTAAAAGTTCAGCCTACTAACCACAGGATATGGTTACCAAGCCAAGTTGTCCTGTACGCTATCAGTCAGTTATGTGCCATGCGTGATACACGCTTAGGTGATCATGTATCTTTCGATACATAACTGACGAGGCAGATTTTTTCCCGTAGTGGGTTGCCATTTTTTTCTGTGGTAAACCAGTTGCCATCCAAGGCTATAGTACCAAGTCTGTCCTGCTACTTACCCATAGCTGGGGGGTGAGAGAGAAGAAAAAAAGACTGATACTTTTTCCAAGGGGAATTAGCACATAAGTTAATGTAATAGATTCGAGTGGAATTCGAACTCGGCCCTCCGATTCCTCAATCCGAGCCGCTCTTCATTACTCCACCGACGCTTCGATTTTTCCAGATGAATTTTTAATTCCGGAATCGCAACCATATTTTAATTATTTCTTTTCAGTTTTTCTATTAATTCAACTTGTCGGTTGGTTAATTATTCAGTCATCAACTGGTATTTTTTTTTTATCTGTAATCAAATTATAATTTTTTGTTTTTCGGATGTATGGGTAGGGTAGCGGTTATCGATGCTGATTGTGGAATTGGCCCGTCGAATTCAACTTCCGACTTAATCTGCTGCTTTCACTCCCGCACAAAAAAACCTTTATATCTGTTTCCCTATAATAAGGGTTAAATAGCAGGGTAAACTGGACTCGCTATTCTAAGTGGAAGAAAGCTTTGAAATCCAAGCCGTGGAAAAGGCAACGAAAAACAACTGCAGTATCTTTCTTAAGAAGAAATCTTTTGGGAGGCATGATTACCCTCATCTTGAAGGGATCGAATTTAGACAATATGAGAATCGTAATATTGTCTTAACAATATGTGTAGTGGATGAAAAATAAACCCGAAGAACATTGACGAAATAAGTAGTCAACACTTTATAAAAAAAGACAAGTTAAACGAATCAAAATGAGAATGCTACCTGCAGAAAAATATTTCTGTTAAAAGTGGACTTGTTGGCAAATAATTAGAGCAACCTAGCATCGAGCAAATCAGATAGGAATGATTATTTCAATTGAATTCTTGGCACGAATTGCTATCCCCTCCGGTGTGCGCACCTTTGTGTGTGCGTGTGTGCGTTTCTGTATGTATGTGTGTGTGTGTGTGTGTGTTGCGTGGTGAGGAGTGGAGAGACCATTCCTAATCTTTAATCTATAATCTCCAAGACAGAGAATTACTGTCAGTTGACAGTGGACAATATGCCATTGGCCATAATCTCTTCAGCTATGTCTCAACATCCAGTCGAATACAATCTTTGCCAATTCCTCCCCAATCCCTTTATCGATCGCGCTTTCTCTTCTTTCTCTCTCTTATTTCATTTACTATCGCTTTTATCATCCAACGTTTCTAAGCCCTTTTCTCACGCCCTCTCTTTCTTCCTTTTCTCTACAATAATCCACACGTCTTTCTTTCTTTCTTTTTTTTATCTTTCTATCTTACACCACGCTTCTTTCTTTTTCTTTTACTTTTTCTCTTTCTCTCTACAATACTTTTTCTTTCTTTCTTTCTTTCTTTCTTTCTTTCTTTCTTTCTTTCTTTCTTTTCTCTACCATATTCCACTCTTCCTTTTTTTCTCTGGTTCTCCACGCTTCTTTCTTTCTTTCTTTCTTTCTTTCTTTCTTTCTTTCTTTCTTTCTTTCTTTCTCATATTCTGCTCTTCTTTGGTTCTTCTTTTTTCTCTCTCATTCTCCGCGTTTCTTTCTTTCTTTCTTTCAACATTTTTACTCATTCTCTTTCAGTTCATATGCCTCCCACCATTTGCTTTCCTTGGAACTTCTCTTACTCTCTTCTTCATTTTCTTCCTGTCGTTTTCTCCATCTGATAACAGATACAATACCAACAGTTGTCGCCGCCATTTTATCTGTAAATTTTTTTTTCAGCATTTTACATCCTTGTGTGTAAGGTTCAGCCGCAAACCTGATGAATTGATTTAACCATAGTCGTTGTTTTGAGGGCAACGTTTGAACTGGTGGTAAATAGAGTTGTCGAGGGGGTGTCAACGTAGGTGGGGTCGTGTGGCGGGTTGGATCTGTAATAATAATAGTGATGAAGAAAATGATAGGAGAAATAACAGGTTGGACGGACACAGAGAGATTTGGGAAAGTCTGCTTACTGGCTGAACTATATCCGATTCGATTGGTCTGTATTCTAAACTAAGTGAAATCAATTTTTTTAAAAGCAAATCGCCCCAAGCAAGGCCGGAGTGACACTAGCATGTAAGGGGTTACAGAGAGTGAAAGTAAGAGTGAAGAGGAGTGTTTAGGAAAAGGATAAAGAGAAGGACAGGGACCATGGTCAAGGCATCAGAAGATGTCGATTGGCATTACATTTGAATATTTGAAGATTATAGCTATCAGGGAAGCAAGTGTTAGGAAGGGGGTTCCACTGATGGAAGGTGCGATACAAGAAGCTGTTGGAGTAGAAGAGATGGCTACATTTATTCGTTTCGACTCTGAAAGGCTGGGACCGAGATGCCAACCTAGTAGTACGCTTAAATTCCTGCAGTTTGGGAACCAGTGAAAGTATCTTGTCCGAGCAGTTGCCATGAAAGTACTTGTAGAAAAGACAGAGGGAAGCCACCGTGCGTCTGTGAGATTGCGACTGCAGATGGGATGCCAAAACAGGACCAACCATGTTGCATATCTGTTTCTGGATTTTGTCTAGGACCTCGAGATGAACAGCAGGATCACCATACCATATATGGCAGCAGTATTCCATGCAAGGACGAATGGCAGATTTGTAGATTTGAAGGATGGACTCAGGCGAGAAAAACCTTCTGGCGCGACACAGAGAACCAACTTTCCTTGTGGTCAGGTCAATGAACAGTGTGAGACCAAGAAGGCACAGAGAAGCGCTCTCCTGGAGTTGGACATCAGCCATCTTGATGGGAGGTAGGCAGGGTTCTCTGTGGTGGGTAACTGAGAGCAGTTTCGTTTTAGAGGCATTAAAGTTTATAAGTCATTTCCAGCCCTTGTCAACCACAGAATGGAGGTTCTTCTCGAGGCCTACGATGACGGATCTACTATTAAGGGAGGAGTAAATAGTAGTGTCTTCAGCGTAGATGTCAACTTGGGAGTAGAAGACATCAGGAAGATGGTTGATGAAGATCATGAACAGTGTAGGACCCAGGATAGACCCTTGGGGAGCACCAGCGTCCGTATGAAAGGAAGTGGAGGAGAATCCGTTTAGGACGACATTCATTTCATGGCTTGACAGTATGTTGAACGCCAATTTTAAAAGTGAAGAATCTACTCCAAAGCATGGAATATGCCTATTTTAAAAAAATTCTTGCTTCAAAATGAACCCTGAATTAAATTTAATAAATATATCAAGCAATTTTGGAGGAGACGATAGCGCTAAATATGGCAATAATATTGGTAAAAGTGATGGAGCTAATGATATATTTACTTCAATCGATCCGGACCAGGCATTTCGACTGCAGTCACTTTCTCACCGAAGTGACGTAGTTTCCCTCTGCCTTTTCTACACATATTTTCATAGCAACTGCTATGACGAGCTTTTTCCCCCTGATGCCCCGGATACATGAATTTAAGTGTGCAATTAGATTGGCAATTACTTTTGAAATAGCTAAATGCCATTTTTACTCCAATGACTTCTTTTCTCGCTCTTCCCACCTTTACTTGCTTCCCAGTTAACTACAATCTTCAAAAATTTAAATGCAACGTCGATAGCCATCTTTTGTCTTCCCTTCATTTTTTGTCCTTTCTTCAATCGTCCCTATTCTCAGTCTTCTTTTTCACTTTCACTTTCACTCCTTGTACCCCCCCCCCCGCGCACCCGTGGTATTCCCGCCTTACTTGGGGTGAAAGTAAGAGAAAAAAACCCCCAAAAAACAAACAAAACAAACAAAAAACATTCCAATGATTGAAAAGGAATGGCATGAAATGTCTTTTTTAGTGGCTGCTTTTGCATAAAAAGAAAATTCAAATACCTATGTAATATGGTTAAACAGTAAACATTTTGATCTGTTTTCAACGCAGTAGGGGAGGGCTGTCTGAGAGACGGATCTCTAGTGCTTATGCTGCAGTAATTTGCATATTTACTACTACAGTACTCATAATACAATGACGGGATTATTTACATATGTATCGGCACTTAGCCTAGAATCAGTGAAGTATCTGTGCGCTCTGTTTAGCTCTGTTGCTCTACAGTCATCTGCCTTGGATCAGTGTACCCTCTACCCAAATTAATATTTGGAAATTAATTATACAATGCGGTTCCAGCTGCAGAACACTGGCGTAATAGATATATCACTTGTCTGCTTACCGCCGAGTAGAACGTTTGAATTAGGACAAGATTAATTTTTTATAATTATTTTTTTGCTTTAGTGTAACAGAAATTACAAAAACGAGGAAGAAAGAAGTCATAATATTTATTATTATTATTATTATTGTTGTTGTTGTTGTTTTTCCACCAATACAAGGCCCAAAAGCCACTCAGGGTAGAGGGTTATTGAATTTATTTGTTGAAAGTATAAAATTGTTAAGCCGAGATTTGTAGAAGTTAATATTATAGTAATCGGGGAAACATCCTGCCGGGAGCCTGTTCCACAAAGTAGCAGTTCGTAGGAAGAATCTTTCAACTGTAGCAACAACTAAAAATGAATAGCACATGTAACTAGAAGAAAAATAATGATATAATCAAAATGTTGTTCCTGATTATTCGAGAAAAATTCAAGGAATGAAGCCCCCATCAATACTAGAAAGAGCGATAACAGTTAGTGGACAAACCTATTTTCCTGAAAAATTGTTTTTAATAGAAAGATTTTATAAATTTCAAGTGAAAGTAGCACTGGTTGCTCGATAAATGTAAACAGAATGTTTCCATGTAAGGAAATAGTTAATATTACGATGATCATTACCAGTAGTGAGTAGAGTGCGCTTTCACGTCTGATATCGAAGTGCAGAACTGTCCGAAGGTCTGCGTCGGTGAATTTTTCAGTTAAATTGCAGTGTACGCGACCGACACTAAACTTAAAAAATACATGAGGTGGCATGAGGAAAATAAGGTTCCTAGATAGTAGGTTTTCTGTTGGATTTTCCTTCTAAGTTGATAACTGGTCTGTCTGTAGAGGTAATCTACTGCCTCATTCGAAATGTTTTTTCGACTAGATAAGCGACTAATTTAGATCAGTTTAAGTCCAGGTACCTCTGCAGAGGTTTTTATATATATATATATATATATATATATATATATATATATATATATATATATATATATATATATATGTGTGTGTGTGTGTGTGTGTGTGTGTGTGTGTGTGTGTGTGTGTGTGTGTTTATCTAAAAATATTTGTCAGTTTGCTTGATCAAGAATCCCTAAGAAATAAATAAATAAAAAAGAATTCCGTTATTTGGGCAGATTTTGTGTTGTGATTCGGACAAAGAATCATATATATATATATATATATATATATATATATATATATATATATATATATATATATAGGGTGCATCAAAAAATACTTTTTAAAAACTTTGGGGCGGGTTCCTCACACCAAAACAACGTCCATATACACAAATGTCCACATAAATATACGTCCAAAAGGCCTTCATTGTATGTCAGCACAACAACAAATGTTCAAAATATCCCCCGTTTGCTTCTACTCGCGCATGTACCCGTCAGATCATGAACTGGGGGACACTTTCGAATACTCCCACACGGTGTCGAATGGTTTCGCAGCGCCCCCATGACACTTTGATGAAACATCTTCTCATTGTTAAAACCAAACTGCATAAACCAATTGTTTTAGGTAGACCCACGGATAAAAATCCAATGGATTGAGGTCGGGCGAACGTGCAGGTCATGAAACCGGTCCCTCCACTACATATCCATCTTTCATGGTAGATGTAAGTCAGTGCGAACATTTTGACTAAAATGTGCTGGAGCCCCATCATGCATGAACCAAATGAGTTTTCGTATTAGCAGGAGTACACCCTCTAGCAGGTCAGGAAATGTGTTCGAAATAAAGTTCCTGTAGACAGCTCCTATAAGACGTGCTAGGCGAACATTTGGACCTCCCAGATAGTCACCTACAATTCCAGCTCACATATCAATTTGATGCTGGTGTCTAGCCTGTATTGTACCATGGGAATTCAGATCCGTCCATAAATGTTGGTTGCATAAGTTTGTTATTCTATCTCTTTCAAATGTTGCCTCATCCACAGACAAGACTGAAGAGACAAATAACGGATCTGCAGTTTGTGGTGAGTGATCAGAGGGTGAAAGACTCTGCGCACGTTGCAAACGATACAGATAGAGGAGCTGCGATTGAAGTCGCTCCAGAATGTGCTCTTCGTTAGTCACGCGTACGATCGGATTTCGGTTTTCTACGATCCATAATTTGTGGTGATACGGATCATGTCTCAACAACGCGACGATAAGCATCAACAATTGAATGATTCGGCTACTTTCAGTCTGAAAACGCAATCTGATACAGCCGTGCAGCCTCGCGTCAATTATATTATATCTTGCCATTGTTAAACGGAACACTTCTCGGTTAACTCACTACGACCCACGTTAAACGTTGAAGACAGATTAGCCCCAAATGTACACGAATAACAAATGTAAACTAGTCTAATAGCAAACTTTTTTTAAACTTAACTCAAAAACGAAGGATTTGCGGACATATGTTTGTATGGATTTTTCCTTGTTTTGGCGTTTGCTTGATTGTAAAATTATTTTTGATACACCCTTTATATGCGCGCGCATGTATGTGTGAATGCATTTGCGGGTGTGTGTGTGTGTGTGTGTGTGTGTGTATGAGTGAATGAGAGCATGTGTGTGTGTGTGTTTGTGAGTGTGATCATACTTGTAAATATCTTTTGCATCATAAACAGGAAAGATCAATGACAGCTGTCTTTAGAGAATGAAGTTTCTTCTTTTACGAATACTTTTGTATAGTCAAATGAATAAATGAGAAACAAATCACACACAGTTGCATGTGTTAATCACACCGTCACCGTGATGATAATATATCAAGACTTCATTTTTTTAAAATTATAAAATGAATCTTTTCTCTAAAGAAAAATAAATCGACTTTTCTCAATTTCTGAGGCAGATGCTTATGCACAGTATTATGCTGGGAAAATGGCTGCCGCATCTTTAATGAAAAATGATCTCTCTTTTTTAGTATATATATATATATATATATATATATATATATATATATATATATATATTGTTAATGATATACTGTATCTTATGCGGCCCACAGTTCGAAAAATGTTGTCTGTGCCTGGTCTAGAATATGGAGCCTTAAATATTAATCAGTCTGCTGCTGACACTGATGTCACTTTTAACTGCATCCATCATTTCCTTACTGCTGCTGCTGCTGCTGTTATTGAAGCCTTGCTGTCATTTCTTTTTCTTTAATGGATCCCATACTGTATTTGCTCTTATGCTTGACCCATAATGTAATACTCATAGCCTAGTATAGCCGATTTCTTCAAACCTAAAGAGAACGGAGAGCACAACATTCGAAAAGCAGTGACAATAGAAAAAATGTTAATAATAGTCCGAATGTAAATACTTTATCTATCTATCTATCTATCTATCTATCTATCTATCTATCTATCTATCTCTGTTCATATGTGTCTATATTCACGTCTCACTATGTCTCTTTTTGTTTACCTCAACTTGTTCACATATATATATATATATATATATATATATATATATATATATATATATATCACCCTTCTTTCTCTCTCTCAATTTCTAATTTTCTGCATTTTTATTGTCGTGTCTATTTTATAAATCTCGAATGATTGATGCCTGTCTCGGTCTGTTCATGTCTGTCCGTCTGTCTAACGATCGAGCTTTAATTCATTTCCGTCTCCTTTTTGTTTTCATGTTTCTACGTGTTTCCTCTTTTGTATTACAATTTTTATTCATTCTTATAAGCGGTCTATAATTTATTACTATTATTATTATTGTTGTATGTGACAGCATTACAAATCTACGAAATCCTTCGGGATTTTTCTTATTTTTTTGTTTTGGTTCGACATTAGTTTTCTATCGATTTGATATACTCAGACGTTTCTGACACATTTTTTTTCGACTTTGTCTCCAAAATTTTAAAACAAAAGACACTTCCTATCATATTGTTGTTTATTTCTTCAAAATTTTATTCAAAAAGTATTTTCAACGCTTGGCCATTTATGAAACTACAGTGTGTGTGAGTGCATCTGTGTGCGTTTATATGTGTGTGTAAGTGAATGTGTGTGTTGGTGTGTATGTGTGTGAGGGCATTTCTGTAAAAGCATGCTTGTTTGTGTGTATGTGTATGCGCATGCATGGGATAGCGAAAACTTTCATCTTGGGCTTTAGTATTTGGTCGTCTCTATTTATACGTTATTATTCCTCCTCTATGACTTCTATTAAACGATTGTGTATTGTTATCTGTAAAAACATGTATACATTTACCATATTGGATTTTATTTTGATATCCATACTGTCATTATTATTATTATTATTTGATAATGATATTTAATACTATTATTATCTAATAATAATAATAATAATAAAATTTATCACGTCTATACTGAATGGCTGTACACACACTTTTCTCGGTGAAAACAACATTCTTCTCCTGGAACAGAAGGGATGTCGAAGAGGTTCACGTGTTTCAAAGATCGACTATTGGTAAATAAAATGATCTTGCACACTTTCAGGAAAAAAGGTAGAAATCTCAGCACAGCTTGGATACATTATCATAAAACCTTTGATAGTGTTCCACACTCTTGGATTCTTAAAGCTTTGGAAATGTACAGTCTCTTCAGTGATAGTAAATTTCCTTAAATATATCATGGGACTGTGGAAAACCACATAATACCTAAACCATACCAAAGGTCCTGACACTTTCAATCGTTTTAATAAGTGAGCTATGGAAAAAAAGGAATATTCTCCCGTTTGCATCCCCACATTATGGGCATTATTATCTCCATGATATAACAAAACCTTATTTCACCCTGTCACATTTCTTTTGTCTGTCCCTAATCCCTTTTTCGCATGAACTAAACAGTAATAACTATGGATAAAAAAAAAATAACAAGGTATTTAATCACCTATTCCACAAAGATGACAATGAGTTAAAAGTGTAAATTATTTCCGTGATGACATCGGTATGGACCTCGGGTTAGATAAATGTGCAAAGAAAGGGATAATTACCGAATCACACTCAATAAATCTCGATGTTGTCACAAAGATTAAGGAACTAAGAACAAGAAGAAGCCTATAACGGAGTCAGCGAAGGTGATGGAATAAAACTTACCCAAATGAAGGTAAAAAGAATGCTACATGCATGTGCGTCTGGTGCTAAATACCGAGTTACTAATGTTGCTAACTTTCACTCAGTACAAAGCCCAAGAGCCACTCAAGCTAGAGTTGAATTTAGAAAACAGAATATCAGCCACAAAAAGTCTTTGGCTGTCCCTGTGGTGCAATATAGTTTCAACATCCTTAACTGGTCCATAGCTGATATTAAGCAAATGGATGTCAAAACGAGAAAGCGTCTGTCTTCTCATACCATGTATCATCCTAAGGCTGATGTTGATCATCCCTATGTGTCCATATCCAAAGGAGGCAGAGGATTAGTTCAACTAGAACTGTCTTACAAAACTACAACAATCGGTTTTCAATGTTATCGAGAAACTACAGAAGTTTTTATGATGATCTATGTCAAAGAACAAGGAACGTCATTCAGTAATAAAGGAAATCAACACATTCAAAAGGGGATTTAAAGTGGTTGAAGATAAACCTTTCATGGTCAATACTCTGCCAGTACCAAAGAAGTTCATGTAAAACCCCATACAAGTTGACAGCAGATGGTTTTATGACTGATGCACAGGACCAATGCTTGTTAATTTGAAATTAAAGTTAGATTCTGTGATGGATACCCCAAAACAATTGAGCATTTTGCATCAGGTTGCATGGTGTTAGCCTCCAGTAAATATAAGCCTCGGTATGACAGGGTGGGCCAATATACGCGTTGGAAAGTCTGTAACTTTTACGGGGAGGAATGCAAGAAATTGGTATGGGCACCAGCCAGACAAGATTACAGATACAGAACATGTAATAATTTTATGAGACTTTGCAAGACACACAGACTGAACAATCAAAGCTAATCGCCCGGGCAGAATGATCAAAGATAGCAAAAAGAAGAATGACATGGCAGTTCTTGCAGGCTTGAAATACAAAGAAAAATGTTCTCACACCTTACGAAGGGATTTATCTATGTAAAATGTGTTTGATTTTAGGTTGTTTTATTTTATCTTTTATTATTTTTACAAAAATGTTCAGTCGAAAATCTGATAATAATAATTAGGTCTCTGGTTGGGACCCGGAAGGAAATAAGAATACAACAGAAATAAAAGGATAATAATAATAATAATAATAATAATAATAATAATAATAATAATAATAATTCTGCTTGTTCTACCATTCGTCAGTTAGTGAAAACACGGAAATGACATAATAGAGATTCTATTTGTTTTCAGTGGGAAAATGAATGAAAGTAAGAAAAAAAGAAAGAAAGAATAGAAGATAGAAGTGTTTAACGTCTCCTGCCAATGCCTAATAAATAATGGACTATTCCATTTTTATTGCGTTCAAAGAAGCTACTTGGTTTTAGCCAGAAAATGAAAGAAAGAAGAGAATATAGAAGTGTTTAAATTCTGTTTCAGTTAAATAGAAAAGATTGTCAATTTCCAAATTTTTCATGATTTTTATTGCAATAATTTGTTAAAGTTGTTAAACTGAAATATTTAACGATGCGATAAAGGAATTTCTACGGATATTTTATTGTTATAGAAAACTCCAAGATCTTACTCATAAATTAACTTAAGAGTAAAGATTCATCAAAAAATTCAAACAGGGAAACTGTTCCCTCCCTCTCTTTGTTACTTCCTTAGTTCGCACGACCGTTACGCTTTGCCATTACTATTTAGGTGATGGCACGGAATAAAAATGTATTTTGGTATTGTGGCCTTATATACTGCGTCGTATCATGGAAACGGATCTCTATATATTTCCAATCGAACAAGAAAAATACTTTTAATATGCAAGATTTTCCTGTTTAAAGCATCAACAACTTCTGGAAACCATGAAGAATCGACGTATAACAATTTTTTCTCCAAGATATGGACAGATGTGCATATTTAAATGCATTTTAAAATAAAAAGAAGAGACTTTTCCTATAACCAATGGAAAACAATAAAAACGTGGAATTTCCACGGGGACTGCTAATAATAATAATAATAATAATCATTCATGCAATTACTATCATTTAATAATAAAAATAATAAACATTCATGATAAAAAGAATAATAAGAATAATTTGCACGATTATTATTATTATTATTATCATTGTTAATATCTGATAATATAATAATAATAATTCATGGCAATATTATTATCTAATTATAAAAACATCCATACAGCTGATATTATTATGTGATAATAAAATAATTCATGATATAATAATAATAATTTCTGCTACTATTATTATATTATAAAAATAATAAGTCATGATAATTTTTGTTAATAAATAATAATGCTATTTCTACTACTATTATTGCTACTATTACTACTACTACTACTACTACTACTACTAATAATAATAATAATAATAATCCATCGTATTGTTATTTGACAATGAAAAATAATATTTCATATCAAAGAATACAAGAATGTGGTTAGAAAAATAAAAATAATTACTGTTATTATTGATGATGATAATGATGACATTATCAATTTATATTGTTGTTGTTGTTGTTATTATTATTATTTCTCGTAAGTACATATTTAGACTTGCATCTCTATATTTTATGTTAAATCTATTTTCTAAAATATACTTTCATTTTTCTTTACTTGCTTGACATTTGAATTGGGTAAGTCATTCCATATAATCGACCAACATTTATATCTTGTTCGTATGTGTCAAGATTTATTTTTAACCACTTCAATCTGTTGCATTATTAATATCCTCAATATCTATTATTTGTCAAAATTTACTTTTTTTCTCATCAGTATATATTATTGCTATTATGTGCAAACATTTTTATTATGAGTTATTTTCAAAATGCTCTGGCTTTTCTTTACAGCGCGAAGATTTTTTTCAAGTAATCCATCCTTTCTTGCCTGTTATTACGTCTGGAAATGTAAGAGAATTTTCGACAGGCGAATTTAAGTGACGCCATATTTTTCTGTTGTTGACAATAGATCCTTTATATTATTTTTCTGAATGTGAAGAGAGTTTTCATAAATTGCAGACTTTTTTTTTCATCATATTTTTCTGATCTCGACAATCTCCTCACAGATTAAGAAGAGACATAAAGAAACAGAAATGTGGTTATACAGAAGGATGCTGAGAATATCAGGGACCGAACATGTGAGCAACAACGAAGTTTTAAAGAAAATGGAAATAAAAAGGACACTTGTACATAACATTAGGAAAAGACAGTTTAAATTTCTAGGAAAAATAATGAGGAAAGAGGGCTTGGAAAATTTTATACTCACAGGACAGACTGAAAGCAAGAAGAACAGCGAAAAATAACACATAATCTACCTAGTGTGCGTTTGTAAATGGAAAATTGTGGAGAGCCA